AACGAAAATAAGGATAAGGAATGAAAGATAAGGAAGAATGAAACAGGTAAATACTTGGAGACATGCAATCATACGTTGTGAATAAGGACAATCCGCGATTTGAACATCGGTCAGAAGAATTCGCGATTCGTGAGAAAAAAGACAAGGAATTTTCATGGTTGCACATGCCCCCGAGTGGCCAATTCTTCCAAATCGAGGATTGTCCACATACGCAAAGTGTGAACCCAAAGAAAGAAAATAAACACTGGAAAACATTCAAAAAATTATGGAAAACAAAGAACCTTTCAACAGCTCCTTCGACTTCAAGCTCTGATGGATCAAACTCGACTGGTGAAAGATCGAATATTGGAACGGCACGAGTGTCACCGGTCCATCGTCTAAATATCAATGCCTTCCATAGTATGCACATTTTGACACGACAATCAAGAATGAATGAGGGAATAGAAAGTGTTTCGTTCTGTTGAAGCCACTGCGCTTGAAGGTTCTAGGCGTAACAGTTAAGTAAGTATAGATGGCAGTCCAGCGAATCGGAATCAACACATTCGTAATAATCCCAAAGCTTTTGAGGTTAGTTTACCACTGAGAAGCTCCAACTCCCCCAAAAGAAATGCGCTTCATTCCTTGGCTGTGGACATTGCACACAGCTCTATGCATAGCACTCTGTCGTACATATGTGTCACCACGTACGATGAATGATACTTGACCCTACCCGAACACTTACATCAACGTAGAAACAGCGTTCGTACATTGCCAGAGTGGAAAATCTGCGACTTGATAGAGTGCGCGCGAAAGAAAACATGCGTATCGACCCGAAAAAAAGATCGGATGATAATGGATTGAATGCCTCTACTGGCGTACTTTCTTCTCGCCCACTCTGTCGCATCCCGAATTCCCCACACCCACCAAGTCTAAACGCAACCTGAACAAACAAAGGACTAAAGAAGCGACATGAACCACCTCGGAAAGCGCGAAAGTAAACCGCATAGAACTGGCCTCCGGGAGCAAGGTTAGGTGTCATTGCTGCTGCCGATAAAGAGTTGAACCCCTGACGAGCTCGCGACCCAGCGCTGGGAGAGAGTTCCCAAACCTGCGTTCCTGTATCGTCTTCTAAAGCTGAGAATAAGGGCGGCGGTGAGGGTGTGGGGCAATGAGATCTTCTCGGCGCGTCGCCACATGGCCCATCAACAACAAAGCCCTGCAATTACCGGTCCAGCTCAGGCTACGCTCATACTTTGCGGCAGCGACCGTCAGCGCCAGCGACTAGGAATGAGTAATATCGATCTAGCGAGCGCCAGCGTCCACCACAGCACCGTACCACTTACTATACACCGTACGTTAAATTGCATGATTCCGTGCTTAAGCGCTTTTTCAACGGTGCGATAGCTCACGATTCCACGACGCCTAACCCGGCTGCCTCCTCCCTCCTGGTCCCCAAACTCTTGCAGCAGTCTGCTTCCCTTCTACTTTCCCCATAGTCTCCATTCTTGGACGCTGGTGTACCGTGGCATTCGCTAGATCGATATCCATACTTTCGTAGTCGCTGCCACTGACGGACGCGCGAAACGCTGATGGTTGCAGGTGGAGGTTGCCGCAAAGTATGAACGCAGACTCACTGATGGAACAAGCACTATGAAGAACAAGGTAGCAGCAAACCGACTGGCAAAGCAAATGCCAATCAAAACGTGAACGTATTTCACTGAAACCTACGTTTCGACAATTCCGTCTTCATTCAATTCATTTTTAGCAACGAATGGAATCGCATAGAGATTATAGCTATTCTCGGATGAAAACACCAGAGAATCTCCTGATGGCGACCAGACTGCGCTAACTGCTCGACCTGCCAAACCACTCCATTTCTCCTCGCGCCATGTACTACGATCGTACACTCTAAAGCTGAGGATTATGACCAACAGTTCCCTATTGTTGTAAGAGAGGAAATTAACAAGATCAAACACCTTATAACATTTCCTGTGTACAGAACAGCCAACCGACGACCATCAAGTGTTGGCACGATTCGCGTAACGTTCCCACCAGTCCATGCACCAAAGCAATCTACCTCACCAGTAGAAATGTCAACGATCTAGAAAACGGTACCAGAGGGCTTCAAATTCGTTCGAAAAATGAGAAAACTACTTATTTACCATAATTTTGCTGCTGTTGGGCGAAACTGCCAATAAAACGTTTGTTGTTGTGCGATCCCAAACAATTTGACTGATGGGCATGGCAGGTAACTCGATAACTTGAGCACAACGTACAGACGGCCTGAGAACAAATTAGTCAAAAAAATGAAAGATAGATTTCCATGTAAACTTACACGAACTGAATTCACAGCTCTAAAAACCACAAATTTTGCTGTCCGAAATTTATCAACTCCGCTCAATATTAGAAACTTACTTAATGTTGGCAGCTTTCACACTGAGCCTCCAGATAAGGATTCTATTGTTTGCTGCGACAGCAAGCACGCGTTGATCGAACGGCCTAAACAATAACGTTTACAAAGGAACTACCACAAAAGGCGATAAAAGTATGGCGCTGATCGGCTCTGGGGTGGGGAGGGGCATTCTGCACGTTTTTCGCTAAGAACTGTTAACATACAAGTCCCGTTTTGTCGGACCAATAAACTACGGTGAGGCTGCGAAATGGTGCAAGACCACCATCTGTACACAGGATTTATAAAAACTGCATAAGTTTCGCTGAACACCATTTTATTGCTCCCACCAAGCTGAACTGCGCCAAAAGCATTACAACATCCAACAATGTACACAAATCAAAACCGCACATCGGACATAACACTTATAATTCGCGCCATTTCATGTAGTTAGCTTTTGACTGATAGCCCTCCCAGTACACCTACAATAGTGTCGGGTAGAAAGAGATCGCTAAAGGGAGAGCTACGTCGCAAATCAAGCCCAAGACTGTGCGAAAACCTCCGAATGAGGAGAGTTCCTGCATGAAATTGTTTGTACCCAGTGAGTTGTTATTGTGTCTAAGCTCGTTCTTCGCCAACATAAATCTTTCCCTTTGCTTCTAGATCGACAATTCCGTGCACCACTTTGTCCTGCACGATGCACAGAAACGAATGTAGAAAAACTCACTCCCACGCCATACATGCAACGTTGTTCTGCAGCGGATGCTTCAAGGTCAGCGGTGTTTTTTGACTCCGACCGATGTTATAGACCCGAATGTAGTTGTTATTCTGACATAGTGCAAGACGCCGTCCCTCGTCGTGTACAGCCACACACCTCAGCCAGTTATTTTTCCTGAAACATATGAACAATCCGGGTATGACCACGCTCGATAGCTGCTGGTATCTCTTTGAAGAAAGAACACTCAGTTCCTCGCTAGTGGCAAAGAACAGCAGAGCAAAGCCACCATCCAAAGCAATATTTGTAAAAAAGAGAAGTGAATAGTGAAGAGGTACCAGTTCATTGTAGTGCTGTACTGGTGCAAAAGTTCTTCAATACGCTCTTGTCCCATAGAAGGAAGAACTCGAGCTGCCATGCTGGCAAATCCGTTTCGCACTCGCAACACCCCTCTGCCTGGAATTTAGTTGTATTACCTTGATCTGCTTGATGACATACGAGACAGCATAAAACAGCTGAATTTTAAAGTCTTGTAAACTTTCATAACTGGAAACCGTCTTTTCGTGGGCGTGGAACATAGTTTCAGAGGGTTTCGATGATAGCATTAAAAAGGGCCTCTCAAAATAAATCTGGGGAAGCGAACAGAAACCACTTAACCTTTCTGATTCGTTAAGAGGCAAATACGTCATCCAGGCTCTCCTACGAATATGACCTCTCACTCCGATGTTCCTTGCCCGAAATGCGACACTTCTTTTCTTATACACTCATGACTAGCGCAGCGAGAGGAGCAGAGGAGAGGGGCTCAATAGGAACCCACAAGAGCTACCAGCAAATAGATTTTCAGGTACCAATGTATGAAGTTCGCTAATGGGCCACCGCCTCATTAATTGTGAATTTCAACAAACTTCTTCTTCCTCAGCGTTTGTTCGACTTTATGGCGAGCACAGCTGTTCTTATCTTGTAACGGGGTAAGAACTTCCCGGGATGGGTTCCAATAATCTACAAGTCCATATGCAACGTGTTTAGCCAGCGCTGTTTGCGATATCCCTTGGACCGCTTTCCGAGCACCCCAAGCTCAGGACCAGCCTCACGGGCGCTGTCAGATTTCGCGCATTTTCTCGACAGCGGGAGCTACACTGAATTTGCGTATGTCATAAATCTATAAACGTTACGTCGGTCGCCCAGCGCGATATTTTCGTGAGGTGGGCGTCAGCCGCTCTGGCCGCAAACTAGCATTCAGCACTACACGGCAGGGTCTCGCGAGGGTTCTTCTAATCATTGATGACAGATCTGTTCTGAGCAATTAATGAATGAGGCATCTCAGACTTCGTGACAACGTGCGTCGACGCGCTGCAACGCGCGTCGACGTGCGACAATGCAACAGCGCTCCAGAGCTATAGACGCGAACACAGCCGCGGACGACCGGCGTCGGATTCCCGTCCGCAAACGTGGCCGAGACGGAGTCGTTAGCGCCGGCCACTTTTTTCGAAAGAGTATGGGCGCAGGGTATATAGATCGGCGTCGGGCTTCAACAGCTGCGTTCCTGTCCATCGGAGCGCTGTTGCAATTGTAACGCGTCGACGCGCGTCACTCGTCGCGAACTCTGTGCGTTGCCTAAAAGAAACTTTTTAACCTACCGAGTTTAGCGATCGGCCAGAGCTTACTGTCTTCAGTGATGTTTGCGACATGATCAATGACACCGGTTATGCCATCTTTTTCCCTGAATTCATGAGAAAACTTCGATGATTCAAGCCAATGCTGTAAAAAGGAAATCAGCACCATCTATCCATAGCTTGCTGCAGTCGATCAGCTTCCCGGAACACATAAGCGTCAGCGACATCGCTTTTAGATATAGAGTGCTGGAGACTGTTAAGATGAGCTCTCTCGACAAAGGGGTAATCGGACATCTATAATAAAAAACCATAAACAATATGCCTTCGTTCAGAAGTCGACGCTAATTTGAATACTTCAAACTATTTCAAAGTAAGTCAATAGGAATTCATATGAAAATAATACTTCACAGAACTACCATCAGGTTAATGGTTTCGAGAAGAACTTCGCTTGTTCATAGTACAATTTCCCATGTGGAAGCTACGAAATATCTTCATGTGCTTCTTATAATTGTTATCTTCATGTGCTTCTTATAATTGTTCTCTTTACAATATTAAGTTTGTGCCTTATGTGGAAGGGGTGTTGGGGAGGGACCTGATAAAAGTTTCGTTTGCGCAGTTAGTTTAGAAAAGGAATATAAACTAGCGAAGACATACCAGTGGTTCTTGACTTTGGATCTGCGCCTAGAACCGCATTCATGCACCACAGAGTGACGTGAAACTGTGGGCTGATATAGGAAACTGCTCCAGTATACCTTCTTGGAGATTTCCTAATGAAAATCTGCTTTTTAAAGTAGTACCCTGCCAACCTTAACCCGGCTCATGTCCCCAACTAAAGATTAGAACTGGTGAAAGGAGCCCATTTCTTCCTAACTTCATAAATTTACTGCTGCGGCCCTTCCATTCGAGTTCTTCTTTCAAACATTAGTTACTGTTTGCAAACAGGAAACCTTTCAACAATTACCCGTCTCCGCAACAACTCCTGCCCTGGAGAAGTTGGCCAATCTGGGTAAAAGAAACCATATTTTCGACGATCTCAGCACATTTTCTTTTCACGCAGACACAAACGGAAATGCTTCTTACAACTAACAGACACCTAGACAGTCCAAAAACTGGGGCTAGTCAAACAAAGACAAGGTCCCTGAAGGTTCATGTCGAAAGTGTTTCGACTAATAAAAGATTGACCTACGCAGATTTCCAAACATTAAAACCTCAAAAACTTGCCGAATCACACTTTGCCATTTTGCGAAATTCTTCAGTACTTCCAGTCAACAAGCGGCCATTGTATTCTTGCAAAACATATGGTTTTCCCGTTGAATTCAGTGGAGGAAATTCTAGTAGAGACATTCTGGAAAGCCTTCTAGTTTTACACGGTAATACCCCTGTTAGACAACAAGGAACCAGGTAAGTAAGGACTAAAAAAAGGTAAAGGTAACTAAAAAAAAGATTTAAATATTAACGAAAATTATTCAAATTGCGGTTGTGTGCATTCACACACTCGGAATGACTACCGTAATAACACCACTGATTCCACGCATAGCGAAAAACTGATTGTGTGACATCTAATCCTTTCTATGCGGCGAGAGTGCAAATCTCCCCTAGCTGTCGGTACTCTCTCGCTCTCTCTCACTCGGATCGACTGGACGATAATCGCTGGTTTCTTTTTCAAAGTTACTGGTGACTCACTAGTGGCAACGTAGGGTACTACAGTGAATTACTAGTGACTTTTAGGGAGGTCAAAGAAAGGATTAAGGTATTCTAGGTCACAAAAGTGCATTCTCACAATTTTTATTTCCTTGTGTTCACGTAAGTCGGGCTCTTTTGCATGAACAAAAACGTGTCCACCCGAACCTCTCGTGCAGAAAAACTGGTGTCGTCAAACATTTCTTTAGCACCTTCTCGGACTGCCCAGAAGCTCAGCGGAAAAAAAACTACTTTTTTGAGGTTCGCATGATTTTTGAGTTCTTTTTCTCACATGTGTTCACATAGTTATCCACGTGGAGTGTTTCGAATAACCATGATGACTGTCATATGGATGATGGCTTACATCAGAGATCCTCGACCCGATCTCGTCTGGCGGAGCCACCCACGCCGACTCGCTGGATAATGTGCACATACAAATGGATGATCGTGGCCGCAGCCTGATTTGCCGGATTAGGCATGGTATTGACAAATAGAGAGAGAGAACATTGACATCATGAAGTTGACATTATGGAGGCCTCTGAGTGAGCCTAGTTACTGTCATATGGATGATGGCTTACATCTAATTGCTCCGAGGAACAAGTGTCCAATGACGTCGGGGCACGGCTACCGTAGTTGCGTAGGATTTTCGAGTTGCTCGAGTATTGAAGAAAAATTCGAAAGATAGATATCGTAAAGGTAGAGAAGAGGGAAATGGTTTTTGAAAAGGCGAAGTGGTAGATGATGTTACGCATGATTGGTGTTAGGGTGAAATTATTGGCGGGGTTTTGTGTTATTCAGGAAGGTGAGTGGTGAGAGTTGGTAATCCAAAAAAAAACTTTTCCTTCGCAATGGTGCGTTACTGGGTAGGTTTTGTTATTTGCTATGTGGGCAATATTTGTTGCTTTCCAGCTGTGGGTTGTATCTTGGTCGGTGTGTGCCTATTCTGACAATTGTGTATTAGTCTAATCGGATTAGGAGGTAGGAGTATAGCGGTTGGTGTGTTTAAGGGGGTGTGCCGTTACAGCATGGGATGGTATTCTATTGTTGGTCTGGTCGTCTTTACGTTAGGTGGCTACGGTTTTCTTTTGTCATGTTTGTTCTGCTATTGAAATTGTGTTAGTGTTCTAAACGTGTTATTTTGGGAAAAAAATAAGGGGATGGGTTCTCAAGTTAAAAATTTTCAGAATGGCACATCAATTGTTCCCAGATTCCGACTATGATGACCGTGAGTATTGGTGCGAGGAAGAAGTATCAGAGGCTAGGTTAACACCAGCAGAATTACCTGTGAGTCTGGGTTATTGTTTGTTTTTAAAATTATGTATAATCTATAATGTTTGGTCGGAAGTAAATGTTTATGATAGGTTCCTTGTGATATGTGTGACGAAGATAAGGAATATATAAGAAGAGCGGAGGAAGGACTGCAGTTAGAAAAGAATCGCTTACGTCTTGGTGAGGAGTATTTTGCGCTAAAGGAGAAAATTAAGGCTGACAGGGTTCGGCTCCGAACTGAATTATCTAGTCTAGTGGATCTCTACGAATGCCAAGTGGAGGTGAGTGGATTTTTCCTCCTTCAAAGGTGTATGTTATAACAGCTTATTGTAGGTGGCTGAGTCGGCGCTGGATCGTTTGAATCGAGCGAAGATAGGGTACTTTGGGGTCAGTATGCAGATATGTGATAAGGATGAAGAATAAAAATTTGTTGAAAAGTGTGCATTAGTTGTTGTAACGTTTTGAATAAGATGATATCTGTTGGGTATTGAAAAATTCACGGAGAAAAGGAGATTTCCCTTATAGACACATCTACAAACTTAGGTTTAATATTATGCCGGACATCTTCGATAGTTTTGTCGCTGAACTTTTATGCCTTTTGTAGCGGTGAGTTTTTTTTGTTGATTTTTGGGATTAGAAGTTATCTTACTATGAAGTTATTACACAGTTTTATATTTAGTTATGTAGCCACGATGAACCTTTAGCGGCTCGAAAAAGGTTATTCAATATCATGCGTGATATTGAATCCGTTCGAAATATGGCGGATGGGATCACGAAGGTCATGGAGGAACTTACAGAGGAATATAAGACGTGGAGACGCGGACTGTAATGGATAATCTTCAGCAGGCTACGCAGAGGCAGACAGAGGTATAGTTGAGAAAGAAATATCTCCCAAAGAAATTAAACAGCTCTGCTGTTTCAGCTGCATTACAAGTGTGCTCTCAAGAGGGATGACTGGTGTTAGCCGTTTGTATCCATCGAAGAGAATTTGGAGGATCGCCGAAGGAGCGTCTTGTGCCTTGCCCAAATCGGTGGGAGGTGCATAACAACCAAAGACAGGACATAGATGGTGCGGAAGAAAAAGTAGAGTCTACAGTTAATTTCAATAACTCTCCGGCGAGCTTAGAGAGGAGAAAGGAATGGCTGAAATTGTTAGGACGAGGACAGTGAAGAAGAAAAAACAACGAAGAGGGAGTATACAGCGAGGAGGATGAGTAACAGAAGTTACAACATGTTGCTGTTATGTTATGCTTATGTTAGTTTATGTTTGACAAACGTTGTATATTAACCATGTGCTTCATTTTCTATTGAATTCCCTCAAGTGACGTACCTTAGGGGAGGGGTAAGTATTCCCAAGGTGACTCATGCCTCCGCATGGCATCTTATAGATTTATTGTATTTATTCCGAAACGCCCCTTTAATCTTGCTCATGGTCCCCTCCCCCAGTTCCCCTATTGATTGGCTCAGGAACTGAGCGGGGCCAGTTTGAGATGATACCTAGTCCAACAAACGTCAAAGCCGTTAAGTCATTTTTAGGAGCCGCCTCCTATTTTAGGCGATATATACCTCGCTTTTCCATTATTGCCACTCCTCTTCACGATCTTCTGAAGAAAAACACTACATTCACGTGGACGGATGCCCACGAACAAGCGTTCCTTGAGCTAAAACACGCCCTAGTAGCAGCACCACTCCTGGTTGCTCCCATATTCGGACAACCGTATATTATTCACACGGATGCGTCAACCACAGGCATAGGTGCCTGCTTATTACAGCGGAATCATACGCAAGAGGAACACCCCATCGCCTACTGTAGCCGCTCCTTAAACAAGCACGAAAAGAACTACGCTGTTATAGAGCTAGAAGCGCTAGCAATAGTATTTGCGCATAAACAGTTCTACCCGTACGTAGCGAACGCACGTATATCACTGGTAACGGACCACGCGCCACTCAAATCTCTCATGCACAGATCGGATTTAATAGGTCGTTTGGCCAAGTACCAAATCGCGATTCAAGGCTACGACCTTACCATCGAATATCGTGCAGGCAAACATAATACCTTATGCGACTTCCTCAGCCGCTATCCGTTACCAAGGATCAACTCAATAGCAGTTCAGTCTTTTCCTTCTCTCGACGACATCCGCAATAGTCAGAGAAACTCCAAGTACGGCGAACTCATCAGGTTTCTCAACAATGAGAGTGAGGAACCTCCCCAGGAATTTGAGAACAAACTGCACAACTTCTCAATTCAAAACAATTCTTTATTCTATACTATCCAGATAAACCAAAATTACTCATTCCGGAACCAGCAATGCAAACGAACATAATAGCGATATTTCATGAAAACCCACTCCTAGGATCCCACTTAGGAATCCACAAAACGTATAAAAAGATTAAAGAAAAATATTTCTGGCCTAATCTCTATCAGGACGTCACTACATACATCAATAGCTGTCCCAGAAAGTCAAAACACCATCCAAACATATTATACGTGAAGAGTTGGGTGCGTTTCCGATTCCGCAACGTCCCTTCGAACGGATTCACACCGACGTCATTGGGCCTCTTCCCCAATGCGAAGACGGAACCAAATTCAGCTATTACGGTATGCGCTTTCAGCAAATACCTCATTTGCAGCCCACTAACTGAGCAGTCATCCGAATCGGTTATCAGAGTTCTGATTAACGATGTCATCTCTAAACATGGCATCCCGACCGAAATCGTATCGGACCGCGGCTCTAATTATACCAGCGAACTGTTTATTAAAATAAATAAAGCATTAGGCATTACAAACAGTTTTACCACCAGCTATAACCATAAGGCCAACGGCCAAGCCGAGAGACTAGTCAAAGTCATAACAGATTCTCTCACCGCCTATTGCGCTGACGCGAGAAACCTCTGGACAGAACTTCTCCAGCCAATTGTATTCGCATACAATTGCAGTACAAATACAACTACAGGTTACAGCCCTTTCTATGTAGTCCACGGAAGGTACGCTATCACTTGGAGCGACGTGCTCCACGAGCTGCCGATCCACCAAGTCTTCGCCTCGGACGATGTTGTCGATCAGTTCACAGCCGGATTGAGAACCACGATTATGGAAGTGGGCAATGAAATCGCGAAGAAATCTG